TGGGCTCCCTGGCCCCGATCTCGACGCCAAGTGAGTCACCCATCACGCAACACACATCAAGCATCATCGTCAGCAGCCACCAAGCCATTACCCAACTCCCCCCCGCTCCCTCCCAAATGCCAGACGGTCCGGCGTCCAGCGCCGAGGCCAGAGAGCAGGTACCTTCTTGCCGCCGGCTGTGCTCTCTGGGGCCGCTGCGCTGGGAGAGGGGTCTACTCATCGCGCCGGCACGTGTAGGGAGCCTCGAGCGGTGGTCTCTGGGATCGCTGCGCGGAGAAGAAGGGTTTAGTCGCCACGCCCCGGAGCCCTCACGCCTTCACCCGTCCCCGTACCCTCCCTCTCTCCACCCGCACCACACATGTGGCTCAACCTGCCCCCGGCCTTCCGACACTTTCCGAGAACGTGTAGCCCAGGCCTGGCGCGCGGCCTCGACGTTCGGCACGGTGCGCCTCCCGCCGCCCCTGCGTCCCCGTTCCCTTCTGTCCCGGAGCTGCCGGAACAGAGAGCACATGGCCCCTGAATCGCCTGTCTCGCCGGCCCGCGTGGCCTCGGCCCCAATCCGTTCCCACCATTGGGATTGCCACGCCCGCAGGCAGTTCCGTTTGGTCCGACGTTCCTCACGCATGGCTACGCGCGCCCCCGTGCGTTCCCGTTCGACCGCCTCCGTGCCTGGACGTGGGGCAGGCTGTGCGGCGCGATCGGCCTCTCCCTAGCAGCCTGGATTGCCGCGTCCATGGTGGCGACCTCGGTCTCCTTCCCCTGTAGCCAAGGGATGCGCGGAGGGGGGTGCGCCCTTCCCAGAACTGCGAGAGCCTGCTCGTGCGACAAAATAAAGCACCAGCTCGTCCCACGCCACATCCTCTCCGTGGGCGTCCATCGCCGATGGAACGGCGGCCGCGAAACTCGCCCGACGCGCCAGCGCCTCCGTGCTGGGCCCGCGTAGGCGCGACCACGCCGGGCGTTGCATTGTTCGTTTGGGTGGTGAGCGGCGCCAATCCCTGCCCAAGCGGAGCCGAAGCTCCACTGGTTCATGGTCCGTATACTCCCCCCAATCGGGTAAACCCACCCCTTCTTCGTAGTGGATCGTGTGGCATGTAGTCATCAACCAACGATTACTGCGTCTAAAAAGCCAGTGGTCGATCATACGGCCGTTACCGAATAGGGGGTGGTACCAGGCGCTGCTGTCTCGCTGCGCCCACAGCGTTTCCGCTACCATAATATCTGTGTCCCGGACGACCGTCATCATCTGGATGTTGATCTCAGTCGTCCCGTCGCCGCCGTGCTGTCCGAGACATGAGGCGAACTCATTCTGGGCGCCTCTATTCGCGACCGCATTAAGATCCCCGCCCAGGAGGACGTGACAATCCCCAGGCGCTTTCCCGAGTAGCGAGTGCACGTGTTCCCAGAATCGGCTCCTGGCGTCCGCGGCAGCGGGTTTCGCCGTGGGGGCGTAAGCAGCGGCCAAGAACATCCCTCGGCGGTGTCCCTGCCGAGGCAGCACAATGGCAAAGACGTGCGCCTTGCCCCTGCCAGCGCAGCGTAACTGCACGGCTCCTGCCTCGCGCCATGCGCGAGCCCATTCCTCATTGAGCGCTATGGCGACTCTCCCTTCCACGATTACAGTCCATTCCTGCTGGACTGAGGGGTACATGTATACCCCTTTGCTGGGTAGGCCACGTCGCTGAGGCATACTGCCGCCCATCCCCTAGCCTCCCATGTGCGAAGAAGGCACTCTCGTTGCAACCACGGGTCACTGCGACTGAAACGACCGCCGAAATCCCTAATGTTCCACGTCCCCACCCGGACCGTTTTGGGTCGCTTTTGACGGGTATTACTCTTGTCCGCTGGAGCGCGCACTCTTCGGGTGTGTTTCCTGCGCATGTGGCTGGCGCGTTTGAGCGGTGTCAGTAACTGTTTCGTCCGTCGTCGTTCCTCCCGCCGGCGTTCGGCCGGGTCGAGAGACTCGCGCGCTGCCAGCTCGGCTTGGATCTTGCGTTTAGTCGCGGCCCGCGTCAGCTGCCACATCTGACGTCGACCTCGCCCCCTCGCTGGAGGTCGTCGAGGTCTTTACCTCCCCCCGCCTAGTCCCCCCCTTCCCCACCTGAGGCCCCCCTCGGGTCCCCCCACGGCACCGGCCACTACGGCTTCCATGGTCCGCTCGGACACGCGAGGTGGACACCTTAGGACCGGCGAAACGCCGCACAGTACCACACGCTCCACCGACACCAGGGCGCGGTGGTCAGGCGCTCCCCAGCGCAAACGACCAGTGTGTGGCCAGGGGAGATGCCCCGAGACATCAACCGCCCCTGGCCCAGTGACTGTCGAGTGATGCCCCCCCGCCCTGACAGGAGCCTTGAGCCAAAACGCACAGGGAACCAGAAACCCCAGGCGCAATGCGCACAGCGGACACGGAGCCCATCCGCTGTGCACTGCATGGGCTTGCCGCGTCGGCTCGCGCAGCAGATCTGAGCGCCATAGATGTCACCTCATCCCATATGGCCAACCCGTCGCCCCGCGACCTGGCCGGGAGGCCTGGGCACCCGTGGGGCGGCATGTTCTTCTGCGCACGAGAGCAGCAAAGCGCAGCAGCAGCTCCTGTCCGTCTCGGCGGTCCGTGGACGCGCCGGTCGAGGCGGCGAGCCCTCGACCCGGCGCCGCGGCCCCGCTCGAGCAGGGCGCGGGGTGGTGAGGGTCACAGCATGCCGGCCCTGTGATGTCGGCCGCCTGCCACGGCCCCACAGGCAGGAGGCGCCGTGAAGGTGGCCGGGGCAGCGGTGCCACCCGGACACACCGGGGGCACTTGACCCGTGTCGTCATGCCGACCATCCCAGCGCCTCCTTGGCGCGGACAAAAGGGCGCACAAACAGCACAGCAACAAACATAGATGTGCAAATCATATGTGTCTAGACATCTTGCTCGTGCTACACGCGAGTAGCTCTCAAAAGGGTGAAGCTCAGACACGTGGGTACAAGGATACCTGTGTACCTCTGATACCTACTACGGGGGAGGGAGCATGGAGGATTGGGGCCCAAAGCTCTCGACCATTATCAGCCCTTCTCTGGGGACTCTTCTGCGGCACTTCGGATTCGGGATCGCAGAGTTCTTCTGGCGGGAAGCGTGGCACAGAGTCATTATCTTCGACGCGGCAGCTCTCGTTTGTCCCAGCGGTATTGTATCGCGTGCGGGATTCCGGTGGCTGATTGACTCCCTGCGTAGCGGCATGGATTTTTAATTTGCGGGTGGATCGAAACAGAAGTACCCGGGAAACCTCCTCCTCCAAAGGATACCTGTCTATCTCTGATACCAACTACGAGGGAGGAAGCACGGAGGATTGGGGCTCAGAGCTCTCGACCATTAGCAGCCCTTCTCTGGGGACTTGACTCCCTGCGAAGCGGCATGTATTCTTGTATGAGGGTGGATTGAAACAGAAGCACCAGGAAACCTCCTCCTCCTCCTCCTCCTCCTCCTCCACGGCCCAAACGAGAAACAACCAGTCCAAAACGCGCCCCGCAGGGGGAGGTCTCCGTCCTCACAGTCGGGGGATCATCCATCCAGGGGGGGAGGGGGGGACAGGGGGGGAGGGAGGGGAGGGGAGGTGAGGGGAAGGCGAGGAGGGAGGGGCAGCGGAAGAGGCGGGGGGAGGGAGGAGAGACGAGGCAGGGGAAGGAAGATGATCCCTAGACTCCACGTCCACACGGTCCCCAAAATTAGCAAAAGCAGACAAAAAGTCATCCTCGGCTGATGAGCTCCTCCAGCGAGTCCGTAGCCCCGCCACCCCGTCGCCAGCATGGGCACACGTCCATGTTTTATCTCAGTCGAGCGCTGGCGGGCGCAGCCCTCCGCGCCGCCACCAGCAGCGAGGCCAGCGGGATCCCAGCCAACCAGGCCCCGCACTCCGAATGAGGGCGTGCAGTGGAGAGCCCATGTGACGCGCCCAGCCGCCCGCCGCGGCGGATGGCGGCGGCCCCAGCGACACGCTCTGCCCGACGAGCGGATGGCGCGTCGCTCCGCCCCGCGGCGCACGAGGCCAGGAAGAGCTCGGGACGTTGGCGCGCCCTCGCCTCTGCTTGTCCCCAGCCTCGCTGGGCGCCAGCACCTTCAAGCCGAAGTCGCCCGCCGCGGCGGCAGAGCCAGCGGACAGGTCCTGGGGCAGCTCGCTGGGGGCGCTGTACGCCACGAACTGCGCCCAGCCCGCCGCGGGTGCCTGGCCGCCCTGGGCAGGCCCGCAGGCCCCAGAGGAGGCGGCAGCCGCCACCGCGGCAACAGCGGCGGCCGCAGCGGCGGCAGCGGCGGCCGCCGCGGCGGCGTCGTGTGCGGCGGGCCCCAGCGCGGCCGCACGAGCCACGGCCGGCGGCGGCGGCGGCCGTGTCGGCGGCGGCCACGTCGGCCACCGCACCGGCGGTGCCAGCGGCAATGGCGGCGCCGGCGGCGCCGGCGGAAGCCGCGACAGGCCGCGCGGCGGCGGCGGCCACCGCGGCCGCGGCAGCGCCAGCCGCCGCGGTGGCGGCAGCCGAAACGGCGGCGGCTGCCACGGCGGAGGGGGCAGCAGCCGCGGGCTGCGCCAGGCCAGGCGGCGGCACCGCGCGCGCGCGGCGCAGCCGCCGACGCCGCACCGTGCACGGGGGCCTCGGCGCCGCCGCCACGCAGCGGACTCCATCGCCCGGGGGCAGCGGCCAAGAGGGGAGGGAGGCGAGACCCCCCCGTCTAAGCCGCCGCCAGAGGCCCGAGGGCGCGCCCGCCAGGCCGCGGGACCCATGCTGCGCAAGCCACCGCGAGCAGCTGGTCCACGACCCGGGACAGAAAGCGATTTGAGTTGGCCCACGACCCTGGACCGGTAGCGACAAAGCGACACATACACACACACACACATTTCTGCACGCCGGCACATACAGCACGCCTAACACCCGCATGCACGCACGCACGCACGCACGCACGCACGCACGCACGCATGCACGCAAGCACGCACGCACGCACGACTACGACGACCACCACCACCACCACCACCACGACGACGACGACGACGACGACGACGACGACGGCGACGGCGACGGCGACGGCAACGGCGACGGCAGCGGTGTGCAGACAGGGCGCCAGCAGGCGCGCCATGGAAGTGTCTTACCTCTGACGGCCACCCAGGCACACATTGGTGTTCTGATGGCAGTTCGCGGTTCCATGATAGACCGAACGGTGTGCCACTACAGCTCTGGCCCCAGTATATCCCACGGAGCCCAATCATCTGGCGCTTCGATGTGCTCGGTCCGTGGGCCTCTGGGTTTCTTGACTCCTTCATCAGGGCCAGCTTTCGTTCCTGAGCCGCTTTTTGAGACTGCCGTGCACAGTTGGGCCGCTGAAGAAGGAACCCTTTTCGTTGAGGAGGGCCTCAGCTGGCCTTCATTGTTTTACAATTGTTTCCCAGGGTTTCCCTCGGTCCTCTGTGGGAAGTCGACATTAAAGTTTAACTTGTCGGAGTAAAGGGACCTCGTCCCTCACTTGGGTTCCTTATGACAGCGTCTCGACTGTAAGTCTAAGAATTGGCCGTCGCGATACTCGATGGACGCCTGTGCCTGGGCACCTGCCGTGTAGGCGGCGCCGCGCGCGTGAGAGAGGCGCTGCAGAGAAACTACGAGAGCATCTCGTCGCTCAGCGCCGGTCAGGCCAGCGGCAGCCGCCGCCGCGGAGAGGGGGCCGGCCTCCACTTCCCCGAGTCGGGGAGCGCGTGTACGGAGGGATTACGGTGTCGTGCCGACGCAACGCGCGGGCGGTCCAGGTGGAGCACCGCCAGGGTCCCAGAGTCGGCCGGTGTCGAGGGATCCTGTGCAGCACAGGAGCCGCGGCCGTTCGGGGCTGAGCAGATCCGCGCGGTGGTCAGAGACCACCGCGTGAGTCGTCACGACAGTAGCTCGCAACGGGGATCAGCGCTGACGGGGGTCAGCCGATCTTCTATACTTAGCTGGCCCGGGCTTGGGAGCCACGTGAGCGACGCAGATGAGCGGGGTCGTCTTCGCCGGCATTGGCGCGCAAGCTGCCCGCGCGAGATCGCGCGTAAGCGCCCTTGTCTGCAATGTGGCGTGCCGCGCTGGTGGCCCGCGTAAAGGTCGCTGCGACATCTCGCGTAAGACTCGGCGGCGAGCGAGGGGGGAAGTGAGAAGGAGAAGGCCTTCTCAGAAGGTTCGGGAGCCCCCCGGCCTTCGGAGAAGTTTTCTGAGCCTTCCCCGAATACGAAAAAAGATTTCTCAGAAGTCCCGCCGCCTTCTGAGAAGGCCTTCTTCTCATTTCCCCCCTCGCTCGCCGCCGAGAAAGGGGTGGGGAAAGCTGCCGCGGAGAGAGGCCGTGGCCGCAGTGGGGGACGTGCCGTCACGGGTCCGCGTTAGAGCCGAAAGACCCGTGTGTTGATCGCCGTTCGCGTGGAGCCGGTCTTTACGTCGGGCACGCCCCTCTACAGGAGGAAGATCCAAGAAGAGTCAAAGAATGGTTCGGGGACGATCTTGCCGATACGTTCCGCTGCTCTGGGGTATCTTTGGACCACGTGGCATTCTCCTTCCAAAAAATCCGCCTGCAGGAGGACCTGCCCGACCGAAACGTGGAGCCAGGCGTATGTCGGGCGTGTCCCTCTACAGGAGGATCTTCGACGAAAGATTAACAAGTACCCCAAAAAGGCCCCAAGAAGGCAAAAAAACACTTAAAGAATAGTCCCCCGACTATTTTTGGGACTGTGCTTGGACCATTTTTGGAGGGTATTTTTGATTCTTCGTCGAAAATCCCCCTGTAATGGAGGATGACGATTAATAAATGACCGGGGGTCGTGTTCACGCGGCGGCGCCCGGGATGACGATTAGAAAAAACCGGCCGCGGGCTGGAAAACTATCTTTTTGAATCGTTCTCCTCCAGTCAGTAACTTGTGCAGAAATAGCAGGAAACTATTTTGTTTAATCGTTCCCCCCCATTTTGTTTATTAATCGTCATCCCCCTGTAGGGGGGACAGGCCCGACGTCAAGCCAGGCAGCCTCTCCCGCCCCTCCGCGGGCCCAGGGCGGAGGGAGCCCCCTGTGCGGCAAAAAAGCGGGGGCCGGCGAGGCGTGGCCCCCCGGCCTCAGGGGCTGCAGCGCGGCCGCCCGCCCCCCCCCGCGGCCGCGGCCTTCCCGCGGCAGCCTCGCGTACCCCCTCGCGTACCCTTTCGCGTGCCCTTTCGCGTGCCCTTTCGCGTGCCCCCCCGCGTGCCCTTTCGCGTACCCCCTCGCGTACCCCCCGCGTATCCCTTCGCGTACCCCTCGCGTACCCCCTTGCGTACCCCTCCGCGTGCCCCCCCGCGCACCCCTTCGCGTACCCCTCCGCGTGCCCCCCTCTGGGAGGCGGCAGCCTCTGGGATGCGCACTTCCGGGGAGTGGGCAGCGGCACGGACACGAACACTCGGAGGGCCGCGCGGACTTCTCGGGTCGGCGCCGGGGCCCCCTGGCGCCGCCTCCGGCGACGCCCCCGGCGCGGCCCCCGTCGCGCCAGGGAGGGGGTCCAGCGCCGATCCGAGGAATCCGCGCGGACCTCCGCGTCTTTGTGCTCGTCTCACCGTTCGTTCCCCTATGAATTCAGTGTTCGCTCCAGTACGGTAGGTGTAAGTCGGGCGTGTCCCTCTGCAGGAGGAATGTTCAAAAATGGTTTAAAAAAATGTCTGGGGACGGTGTTTCGATTATGTTTGACCATGTTTGAGTATTTGTTGACTATGTTTAACTTGTCCTCCAACATCTTCCTGTAGGGGGACATGCCCGACCTAACGCTAGGTTCGCGCCGCGTCGACGCGGCGGCGACCCCAGCGCGGGCGCTCAAGGTGGCGAGCCCCCGGTTCTCCAGAATCAGCCGATGTCGAGCGGCCTGCGCGGCCCGAAAACCGCGATCGCCCAGGCGTCAGACACCCTCGCCCCAAGTCGTCACGATACGCGTTTGCCTTAAATCTGTTCTTAGCGCTATTGCTCTCATCCAGCCTAGTTCGGCTGAACATGGCCTCACGTGGGGCTCCACCTGGCCTCTCCCTCATAAGTAGCCCCCTGTGGTGTGGCCTGATGTTTTACCCGGGCTACATGGTTGGGAGCATGCATGTTGATCATTGGGGCGATTGTTGGATTCACGCTGTCCGTTCCCGTATTCCTCTGAAGCAATGCGGTGTGATGTTTCCTTGTGGGCCTAGTATGGGGATGAATCGCTATGGTGCGTTCCAGAACGCTCTTGGAGCAATCCCGAACGCTCTGAAACGGCCGCGACGCTCGACACGTTCTCCAGACCCGCCGTCTCTCAGAGATTTTCGATTCCTCTGCGTCTGGCCTTGTCCTCATCCTGGCTTCCTCTTCTTATGTGTTCTTCATAGCGCGCTCGCTCGGGGAGCGATCCGTCCCCCTGAGCCGTTCGCTCCGTCCGCCCCTTTCTCGGCCGCGCCTCCCCCCTCTACTCCTCTTGCATGGTGCCACAATTCGCTCTAGGCGCCTACATGACCCAGACATGATCGCGTCGCAAAAAGATCAGGAGATCAGGAATGGAGGTGTGAGGCCATTTTCGGCCTTGGGGGCCCTCGCCGGTCCTCGGGACCGTCAAAGAACGGCGCAGGACGAAAAACCGGTCTTGGAGGAAGGGTCGGGACTTACGGGGACCCCGTATGGAAAATATTAGGAAGTCGCATGTCTGGGGAAATGGCCTGCCTTCGAGGATCGAACGAGTTTTCATCTCTTCCGCCGCGGAAGGGCGACAGAAGCTCGGCGGAAGGAAAACGAGGCGGCCTTCGCTAGCGGAAGCCGGCGGAAGGGCGGCTGAAGGCGACGCAGGCAAAACAACGCCTCCCAAGAGATGAAAACGTTGTTGGGTTCAGATTTCCCGAAGTCGGCCACATGTCTGTATCCAAGGTTTCTGGAGTTGGCCATGTGTTTCAGTGCTGCCCCCGTGTTCCGTAGCCATGTGGGCTCGAGCCAAGGTGGAGCAAAGGTGCGTTCAAACTTGTTTTTCTCCAGAGATCAACGTGCCTGCAGACCCCGTGCCAGCAGCTGCACACGTCTTGTGAATGTCTCCCGCTGCCAGCGGCAGGTCCCGGCACCGTGCCAGCCCAGCATTCTGGGTAACGACTGCTCGGGGGTGGGAGAGCCGGGAGAATATCGAGAATGGTAATGATGATGATCAAAAATTATGGTGATGATGATGAAGAAGAAGATGAAGTTGATGAAGATGATGATGATGATGATGATGATGATGATGATGATGATGATGATGATGATGATGATGATGATGATGACGATGATGATGATGATGATGAGGAGGAGGATGATGATGATGGTGATGATGATGGTGATGACCATGGTGATGGCCATGGTGATGGCCATGATGGCAATGGTGATTGTCATGTTGATGGTGATCGTTGTGATGATGTTGTTGATCGCGAATATGGATATGAGAATGTAAATGGGTATACGCTTATGATTATGACTAAAGTTATGATGATGAAAATCAGTCGGAGTATGAATATGAGTTTGGTGATGATGCTAATGTTGGTGTTGATGTTGGTGATGGCGATGATGATGTTGAAATGTTGATGGGCTGATGACGATGATGGTAATGGCGAAGATGGCGGTAATTGTGATTCTGGTGATGATGATGACAACGATCATGACGATGATCATCATTATAGTTGTGGTGAGTATTATGATGGTGGTGGTGGTGATCATGATGGTGATGGTGGTGCTGGCGACGATGATGTTGGTGTTGATGGTGTTGTTGATGGCATTGATGGTGGTGATGTTGATGATGGTGAATTTAATAATGATGGCGACGAGGATGTTGATGTTGATGATGCTGATGATGGCGACGACGATGATGATGATGGTGTTGATGATGATGGTGATGACGATGGCGGTGGCGATGGAGATGGTGATGATGTTGGTGATGGTGATGATGATGATTATGACGATGGTGATCGTGATGGCGATGGCGATGGCGGTGGCGATGGCGATGGTGATGGTGATGATGATGATGGAAAGGTGGTGATGACGATGATGATGATGATGATGATGGTGATGGTGATGGCGATGGCAGTGACGGTGGCGATGGCGATGGTGATGATGATGGTGATGATGATGCCATGGCGATGGTGATTGTCATGTTGATGGTGATGGTGATGATGATGTTGATTGCGAATCTGAATATGAATACGAAAACTGATATACGGTTACGACGATGACTATGATTATGAGTACGAGAAAGAAACGAATATGAACATAATTTTTAATTTGGTGATGGATGTAATGATGGTGTTGATTGTGATGGTTGTGATGGTAAAGGTGGTGATGATGCTGTTGAAACGTGGGTGAGCTGATGACGACGATGATGATGGTGAATATGGTTGTGATGTTGATGATGGTGGTGATGATGATGCTGACAACGATTATGACGACGATGACCATGATGATGATGATGATGATTATGATGATGATGGTGGTGGTGGTGAATATTATGACGGCGGTGATGGTGATGGTGGTGATGACGACGATGATGTTGATGTTGATGGTGTTGTTGATGACATTGATGGTGGTGATATTGATCGTGATTTTGATGCTGATGATGATGGTGGTGATGTTGATGATGGTGGCGTTAATGATGATGGCGACGAGGATGTTGATGTTGATGATGCTGATGATGACGACGACGATGTTGATGGTGATGTTGAGGAGGATGCTAATGGGGATGGAGACAAGGATGAGGAAGAGGAGGAGGAGGAGGAGGCGGATGAGGATGAGGAGGATGATGATGAAGTTGAGGATAATGATGATACTGGTGGTGGTAATGAGGATGACGAGGAGGAGGAGAAGGAGCAGGAGGAGATGGGGAGGGTGAAGTGGAATGCTGTCACACAATATGCCCTCTTGGGGGCCCCTTGGGAGCCTCTTTTGGCCCTCTTGGGGCCTCCTGGGGGCCTCTCTGGGCGGAAGGCTCGAATTGTCGGTTCGTGTGCCCCCTCTATGGCCTTTCTTGGGGCCTTCTTGGGCAGTCTTGGGCGCCTCTGGGCCGTCTTGGAGCCCTCTTGGGCCGTCTTTGGGCCATCTTGGGGGCCTCTTCAGCCGTCTTATCTTTGGGGCCTCTTGGGCAGTCTTGGGACGCAGGGACGTCGAAAAAGCGAGAACCCCCAAAAGATTGGATTGAAACCCGTACGCAAACTCAAAGATGTTTGCCTCTCGAGGCCCTCTTGGGAAGGCTCTTGGACCTCCTGGGGGCGTCTCGAAGGCTATATTGGGCCGTCTTGAGGCCACCGTGGGCCGTCTTGAGGCCAGCGTGGGCCGTCTTGGAGCCATGGTGTGCCGTCCTGGCTGCATCTTGGCCTCGGGAGCGCGAATCTGCCGTATGTTACAAAAGGGTGGTGGCCTCGGGAGAGGGGGGCGGTGCACGCAGGCCCAGCGTGACGAGAGGGAGGCGGCGAGAAGCCTACTCCAGATTTCGTAATAAAGGGAGGGGGGTCTCATTTCGGGGGGGGGTCTCCTCCAGGCTATCTTGGAGGGCCTGGGGGGTCTGGGGACGATGGTTTGGAGGGTTCTCCCACGGGGGAGGTCTGAAATGGCTTGTCTTGGAGGGTCCAGACCCCCTCCCTTTGATTACGAATTCTGGAGTACAGCAACCCTGCTGGACAGAACTCGGCGTTCTAGCACGCCCCAACGTCGTGCTTGGAGACACGGGGGCGGGTCAAGCCATGCATGATGTACAGCAGTGTACGCGCACACGCATACACATGTGGGCATGCGTCTTACTGTTAAATTGTCGGTGGGCCTCCGCTCTGTCCTGCTTCGATGGAGGCTGCGAGATAAGGAACATCACGGGCTGGGCAGACGAGTTTGAGCCTCGTTCATTCGACTATTTCGAGCTGGTCCGTAGCGATACCGTTCTTAAGGACGTGCTACAGCGTTTCCTCGATGATGGTATATTACTGATACAGGGCGTCCCAGAGGATAATGATACCTCAGCGTTGGGCGTTCTTGCTAAGCACTTGATGCCAGCAGGAGCTGAACTCTCGTGCGACACAGACGGAGCATCAACACATCGTGGCTGTCTCCGAGATAGCGGCTTTCAACCTCACGACATGGTGGCAAGCCCAGTGAACGCACACACTCACGGTGCATTCATGGATGCGCCCTTTCGTGCCGTATTGCTCAGCGTTGTGAGTTTCGAAGGGCCCCAAACTGACTTGCCAACTAATGTCTTCGTTGACAGCTGGCGCGCCATGGCACGTCTAGAGTGGCAAGAGGTAGAAGCTCTTGCTGATGCAGATCACTGGCCCCAGAAAGCGGTTTCCTGTGTCGCCCCATGGAGACGCACAAAACGCGGAACTCGTCGAGGTTGTCAGCTCAGAACTATATGGAACTCAGGGTGTGCCAAGAAGCCTGTGCCTTTGCACGCTGCCACGCTCGGCCGCGCAGTGAAGAGTTTTGATTCTATGGTGTACGGTGACGAGAAAGGCACGCAGCTTCAGATGCGGCTCGGTCCTGGCACAGCTGTGCTTATCGACAATTGGCGAGTGCTGCACGGACGCGAGGCCCTGAGGGGTGGCTGGCACCGTCGTGTAGCCACGGTGGACTTGACAGACGATTCTTTGCATGCGCGGTGGAGGGCATTGAGCAAAAAACAAGTGCGCAGCTACAAACAGCAGTCAACAGATTTGTGACGACATCGAGAGCAGAGTTCAATTAGTTCACTTCGTTCGAATTCAATCTTCGAGTTCAACAATCCAATTTACAATAAACCAATCCAACCATCCAAGGTATTCAACAGTTCATTTCGAGAACACAAAGTACTTTAAGAGCTGGCTGGACCCGTTGCGATAGGTGCTTCAATGTGGACATCCAGTGCACCTCCGCGTGGCCGGGCTCCCAACGAGCCTGTGCGCTCGCCACCGCACCGGCAGGACGTGGCATCTGACCCTCACGCGCCAGATCCAGCCGAATGGCTGGAGAGCAAATCATACTACTTAGCGGCCCACTGTCCGAACACTGGTCGAAGTCGTGCGCCGCCAGTTTTGCGCCAAGAATATCGAGCCCCCAGGTGCGAGCCCTGGGCCCGTTGGAAAAGAGTGTCCCCTCCTCCGCCTCCCCCCCCTCCGTTTGTTTGATCCCCCGCGCACCTTCAGGGTGCACCCAAAGTTTGCCGCTCTGCGTGTCCCTGCTGCTCCCCGCGCACCGGCCAGACAGGGAAGCAGAATCTGAGCAGGTCGCATCGGTCAGCTTTCCCTCTTTCCTCCCTTTCCAGCTGGCGGGCGCAAGCCCGATGTATTTTCAACGCCGTCCTACCTTATGCCTCTGCCCGCTCATAGCCCTCTCGAGGGGCAGCGGATCGCCCCCCCCTGGTTATTCTTGTCGCTGCTCTCTTCTGGGGAGGAAGAAGCAAGTGGCACGCGTGCCCTGGCTCTTGCGCACAGGAGCTGGGGGAGGGCAGGGAGGCCAGGAGGGGGGGGCTGGCTCGGGGCCAGGACCAGCGGGGAGGTCAGGGAAACTGGGGGGGGGGGGAGGACGAACGAGGAACGACGACGAAAATATAGCGGTCCGAGCTCCAGAACACAGCTGTGCAAGAGAATGAAGAGGTGCCGAGTCTGCGGGCGGCGAGGGCGCACGAGGACGGCCACGGGGCCGCTGCAGGACGGGCAGGTCTTGCGGGCGGCCACGGGGGCAGAGGCGCCCCGCAGACGGGGGTCCATGCAAACGGGGGTCGGCCAGAGCGCCGGATCTTGCAGGATCCTGCAGCTCCAGGGTCGCACTGGCCTGGGCTTGGGCGCAGGATCCTGCAGGATCCTGCAGGATCCTGCAGGGCCAGGGTCGCATTGACCCGGGCTTGGGTGCAGGATCTTGCAGGATCCTGCAAGGCCCGACTGACCCGGGCCTACACGCCGCGATCTGGCGAGCGAAGAGCAGCCGATGGTGCCAGGCTTGACGATGGTGGAAAGCCCGCACGCACGATGGCGCGCGCCGCTCCGACCCTGCGACGACCTTGCCGCAGGCGTTTTTGGGGGCTGCACGCCGCCAGGTGCCCAGAGTCGACCAACACGCAACGATCTGGCGACCGAAGAGCGGCCGATGGTTCCAGGCTTGACGAGGGTGGAAAGTCCGCGGGCGCTGTTGGGGCTGAACGCCGCCAGGTGGCCCAGAATCGACCAACACGCAGCGATCTGGCGGTCGAAGAGCAGCCGACCGTTCCAGGCTTCACGATGGTGGAAAGCCCGCGGGGGGTCAGAAAACCGATGTCGAAGCCGTCACGACACGAGCTCGCCGCAGCCAGTTTGGCTCGGGCCTCGAGCACAGCGGCGTTTCGGCTGGCCACGCGCGGGGGCGCGCGCGCGAACGAGAGCGTTCGCCCGGAGGGCGCGGAGCCTCATGGTGGGCAGGGCGACTCTGTCGCCCAAAATCCCCTCGGCGGGCGTCTTCCCGATGACCTCGGCGGCCTCGGGGCAGCTGGGCAAGCTGCAGTTCCGCACGACGAACATGTCGGAGATGCCCTGGCGCGTGGCCTCCCAGGACGACGCGGCGGAGAACTTCCTGTGCATCTACGACATGGGGAAGCGCGCGAGCAAGCACATGGACCGGCAGAGGAGCAGCGCGCCCTTGCTGAGCGCAGCGGCCTGCACGACCAGGTCGTGCTTCGTGCCGCACTCGCTCGACTTCTGCGAGGGCGACCGCGCGGAGGCCGCTTGGGTCAAGGCCAGGGCGTGCGGGTCCGTGGCCGCGGCGGGCGCCTCACCCTCTCCCCGGTCGACGATGCAGTCCGTCTACGGCTCGGCATTCGCCCCGCGCACCGAGCACGAGCTGAGGTCCTCGAAGGGGAAGTCTGCCAAGCCGCGGGAGCGCACCAGCCCGCTGGCCACGCTGGACGAGCTCATGGAGACGCGCTCGCACGCGCAGGCGTCGTACTTGCAGCAGGCGCCCCGCCCGTCGGTGCCCTGGCACTCGCCCACCACGCTGGGGCCCGTGGCCCGTGGGCCCTGGCAGGGCGAGGCCGAGTGCTCGATCTACCGGAAGGAGTTCGGCCGGCCGACCTTGCAGCGGCCCCAGTCCACGCCGCTGCTGAGCTCGAGGGGCAGCTCCCTGCCCTGGTACAAGACGCCCGCGGAGGCCGTGGCGCGCCGGGAGAGCACCCGCAGGGCGGAGGGTCTGCAGCTGCGGCAGGTGTTCCGGGAGAGCACGAGCGAGCCCAGCGGAGCCGCCTCCGTGGCGTCCGAGGGCGGTGGGGTCCGCCCAGCGTCCCAGGCCACTCCGCTGTCGGCGCAGGAGCGTCGGCGGCGCCGCTGCGTCGTTGCGGCAGGGTCGCCGTGAGCACACTGCTCACAGCCGCGGCCGAGCACAATCCTAGCATAGGTCCGACCGAGCGCGGCGCGGACATGGTGAGGATGGCGTGACCCAAGAGCCAATTGGAGCTGGGCCTTCAGAAGAAGGTACCGCAAGCGGGAGCCAAGAATTTGACGTCATCCTCGACCTCACCCTCTCTTACCCTGATCCCTACCACTGTTGTCACCATCTCGGGCGAGTTGGATGTTCCGCGGGTTTGCGCTAGCACCTCGAAGGATGGGTTCGCGCACGTTTCTTGCATCGGCGACATGGCCAGCGGCTTAGTGGCCTGAAAACGATGCTAAGCTACGCATCATTGTGATGAGTTGCTGTTTTGACAGGTTGCAACTCGCGATTGCGATACGCCGCGGTAGGCGATTGTGACATACCGCTGCATTTGGAGATAACTATGAGCGTCCGGGCCAGCGGCCTGGCAGCCTGAGAGCGACGTTGAACAGACTGCGTTTTTTGTTATATGGGTTATGTTTTGATCGATGGCAACTCGCAATTGCGACACGCCGCATTACTTTGTTGGCAGCTCGCGATTGCGACATGCCGCCGTGTATGAGCTGCCGTGGCGCAGCTGGGAGGGCCCTCGAACATACATGATTTTCTGACCGTCGCCGTACTGATTGGTTCCTCGGTTCGGTATATGAACTGGTGGGGACGGCCATGGCGCGCGGTCGTTTGCGAGTTCCGAGTCGCAGCTACTAGGGCCTGTCAGGAGGCCTTTGGGGGCCGTTTGAGGACCGTTGGGGGCCTCGTTGGGGCCTCTTGGGGGGCGTTGGGGCCCTCTTGAGGGCCTGGGGGCCGCCTAGGAGCGGAGGGCTCAAAATCTCAATTCGAGTTCCCCCTCTTAGACCCCTCGGGGGGCCCTTTGATGGCCCTCATGGGCCGTCTTGGGCGCTTCTTGGGCCGTCTTGGGGCCCTCTTGGGACGTCTCGGGGCTCTCTTGGGGGCCCCTTGGGCCGTCTTGAGGTGATATGGGAGGCCTCTTGGGCCCTCTTGGACGCCGTGAAGGCCGAAAAGTCGCGCATACCAAAAACATGTGATCCGAAAAAGGAATGTGACTAGTTTTGCAGATTGGAGCTCTGTTGTGAGGGCACTTGGAGGCCTCTTGGGGCGTCTTGGAGGCCTCTTGGATCGTCGAGAGGCCAGATAGAGCGTCTCGGACTGATCGCTCGGCGACTCGGGGCCCTCTTGGACCGTTTGAAAGGCCTCTTGGAGCCCTTCCCTTTTGGCCCGTCTTGGGGCACTCTGGGGCCATCTGAGGCCCTCCTGGGAGGCTTCCGACTCAGACCGCCCGCCGGCCGCCAGACATCAAGCCTGATCAGGCTTCCAAGAAAACTACTGCCCAGGGTATTAGCACAGCTATATATATATATATACATCTATATACATATATACATAAATAGATGTGGATATGTATGTTCATATGCATAGGCAGATGCAGGTGCAGATGCATCTGTATGTGCGTGTATAAATATATATATATATATATGTATAAGTATACGTACATACATTCATATCGCCAGCGTCCGGGCCAGCTGCGTGGCAGCTTGAAAGTGAAGTTGAGCAGACTACGGTGTAGTTTGGTTAGTTGTTGTTTGATCGGTGGCAACTCGCGATTGCGACACGCCGCAGTAGACGGCTGGCAGCTCGCGATTGCGACATGCCGATTTAGTTTGCGAGAATGTTTGAGCGGCCCCGGCTCGACCGGGAGGGTCCTCGAACACGCACACACACATACAAACATGTGTATATGTACGTACGTATGTACGTACGTACGCAAGTATGTATGTATACAAAGAAATGTACACAAACCTACATCCACACATACATGGGTATGTGTATAGATATATGCTCACACATCATAATGACGTAGAACAACTGTATAAATAAGTGCGCATATATGAATAGCTCTAATTCTGTATACAGATATGCATATATCGATATGCAAGACTGCATTGGCGCTTGGCGCCATGCACCATGGCCCTTGAAGTTCGGCATGCAAGCGGAAGGGCCGGCAGGTGAATTAGACAAATTAGCGATAGTTGTTTTTTTCCGACATCGTCGTTATTATAATGTGTGTTCATTTGTTTCCCTCATGTTTCTTCTTCATCTCCCCCTTCTTGTCCTACCCTGAGAATTCTTCCCCACATGTTTCAGCTCGTTTTTTCGAAGGCTCCTCCTTAGAGAGCCTTGTGGGGCCTCACGAACAGTTTTTAAGAGCTTCTTGGGGCCTTCTGGGGGCCTCCTGGGTGCCTTCTGGGGGCCTCTGGGGGCTTCCTCGGGCCATCCTGCTTCCAACCGCGGTCTCCCTGAACGACCGGGTCACGATTTGGAATGCTTCGAGGGGCGTGCTGGGGCCATCTTGGGCTGTCATGGGGCTCTCTTCGGGTCATCTTGGAACCCTGTTGTGCCGTCTTCTCGTCTTCGGGCGTCTGCTGGGTGTCTTGGTCCTCTTGGAGGGGAGGCCGTTCGGCTGCCCTCCCTGCCGATTTGGGCCCGCTGCCTCGGCCCAGCAGGGGCTCCCGGGAGCTCCGGAAAGGTTGGGGGGGCCTCCGGAAGGGGCGTGCAGAGGGCCCCGAGGCCAGGGACCCGGGGGTCCGGGAGCCTCGCGACGGGGGTCAATGCAAACGGGGGTCAGCCAGAGCGCAAGATCCTGCAGGATCCTGCAGGGCCAGGCTCCCATTGACCCGGGTTCGGGTGCAGGATCCCGCAGGATCCTGCAGGATCCTCCGCATTGACCCGGGCTTGGGCGCAGGGTCTTGCAGGATCTTGCAGGATTCTGCAAGCTTTGGCTGACCCGGGTCTGGGTTGACCCAGGTCAGGAGATCCCCGAGAGGCTTGTCAAGATGTACGAAGTGGAATATCGAGTAGGGGATCGACTACAGAATTTCTGGTACCCCATACTTGAGCTTCTCGTCGGATCTACGAATCATCTAGAACAGTTTGCGCATCTGTCGTAGATTCGGTAGGGAAAAATCAGATTTGGGGTAAATCAATTCTGTAGTCGATCACGTGGCCTCCAGGCCCCGCTGGCCCGAAGCACCCCCATCCCACACCCACCGAGTAATCCGTATTCGCCCTGATGGTCCAGAGCCCCTTGCTCGGAGTTTTTGGGTGGGGCACTTCGGCTTCAGGAGGCCCCCAAGACACGATGATGACAGTCGAATGGCGCCAGGGGGCCGCCAAGGTGCCCAAGACGTGCCCAGAGTGGTTTCAAGTTGCCCCCAAGACGGCCCAGGAAGCCTCAAGGACTATCCAAGAGACCCCAAGAGGCCCCCGAGAGGTGAAAGTGGGATTTTCAACTGGATGTTGCTAGACTTCAGCGTACTCCATTTTGTAGTCTCAAGAGCCTCCGAGATGGCCCAAGAGGCGCACAAGAGAGCCCGAAACCGGCCCCAAGCCCAAGACGAGCCCAAGATGGCCTCAAGACGGCACCAAGAGACGCCCACGACGGCCCAGAGGGGCCCAAGATGGGCGAAGAGGGAGCCAATATGGCCGAAGAGGCCCCCAAGACGGCTCCGAAAAGGTTCCAAGAGATCCCCAAAGGCGTTCCCAAGAGACCCCCAGCACGCTCCCTCCAGCATGCGTCCAAGAGGCCTCAAGACAACCCAATGACGCTCGAAGGTGACCAGGACATTCCCGAACCCGTCGCATCGTGAGTGTTCGCCGAACTGCCCCCAGCGGCCTGCAAGACACCACGGAATTGTGTCTCCCGGGCTTGCGCGGTGCTTGGGCTGCGCACTATGGATGTAGGCAGGGGGAGGAGGAACAGGAGGAGAAGGAGGAGGAGGAGGAGGAGGAGGAGGCGAGAGGAGGAGAAGGAGGAGGAGGAACAGGAACAGGAGGAGAAGGAGGAGGAGGAGGAGGAGGAGGAGGAGGCGAGAGGAGGCAGCGCCAGTCCTGGGCCCCGCTTGGTTTGGCCGCTGCGATTCGCCATCTTTGGCGGTTGGTGCGCTCAGGTTGGTGCCCTCAGGAGATGGAGAAGTGGTGAATGACGAGGAGAAGGCAGGACGACGACGAGGAGTTGGAGGAGGAGGGTGATGGAACTAGGAAAGGGGAGGGGGGATCAGAACTAGGACGGGGGATACCGAGATCATCCGTGAGAAGGAGGAGGCGGAACGACGAAAATGGCGACGCAGAATGAGTTGTTTGGGGGAAGTTGGATTCCACCTAGATTCATTTGAGGACGCCCTGAGGACGCAAAGAAGAGAGAAAGGGAAAATGTGGTGAAACTGTCAAGGAGTACAGCTGGACTGTAAACAAACGCCCTCAAATGCACTCGGGCAGAGACGCCCGAGCGTGAAGCAAGCACCCTCGAGGGCAATCCCTGCTGGATGACCCCCGCATGCGTTAACACGGTCTGACTCTTCATGTCCCGGACACGCGGCCGAGGCAGCAAGTGAAACAATGATGCCGCCACACAGTCATCACGCAATCTCCAACCACACACATGCTAAACTGAGGGGACGAGGTGCACGGGAAGGAGCAAGAGGTGGAGCAAGAGGAGGAGGGGGAGGGAGGAGAACAGAACGAGAGGAACGAGGGGGAAGGAGAGGGCGAGACCCTGGGCCACTTCACCGTCCAGTAGGACAGCCTGACAGCCCATCGACGCCTTGAAGACAACCGCCGTCCACCAACATGGCCTCGACCGTTTCCTGACGGTGGCCTCAGGAAGCCCCCGTCGAATACGTACACCAGCAATTTGACAGCATGGCTCAACGTTGAGTGGAAGCAGCGAATAGTTCCTTCGAGAGTCGCGCCATGCATGCATACATTTATGTATGCATGAATGTATGCATGCATGTATGTATGTGCGTGTGTGTATATATGTGTGCATGTATATACACATGCGTACATACATGTAGGTGCGTGTATGTATGTGTGTATGTATGTATGCATGTATGGATGTATTGGTGGATGTGTGTATGCATGTGTACGCATGTATACGTGCGCATGTACGTATGATTGTATGTGTGCATGCATGCCTTTATGCATTAGTACACGAATATGTGTATGTATACGTGCATGCATGCGTGCATGCATGCATGCATGTATGCATGTATGTATGGATGCATGTATGTGTGTTTGTTTGCATGTGCATGCTTATCTGTATGTAGGTAGATAGGTGTAAATGTATGTGTGTGTGCGTGCATGCATGTATGTATGGTCATATGCATGTGTGTATGTGTGCATGTATGTGTGTATGTGTGTATGTCTCCACGTATAGGTTTACGATGTGAAAGCAAACACACACACACACACACACACACGTACACGTACACGTATACACATATATGCCTAGATACATGCGTGTGTCTATATACATACGCATCTACATATGTCACACATAAGTTTGAGATCCCTGCCCAGAGGTCTCGGCAGAGCCTTAACGCGGGGCTCAAGAGACGGGGGTCAATGCAAAAGGGGGTCAGCCAGAACGCCAGATCTTTCAGAATCCTACAGGGCCAGGGTTGCACTGACCCAGGTTTGGAGGATCCTGAAAAGCCCGACTGACCCGGGTTTGGATTGACCCGGGTCAGTAGATCCCCGAACCACGAGGGTCCCCAGACGGCGCCAGAGGTTCGCAGGCCGTTTTGGGGCCCTGATGGGCCTTAAATTGGCGTGCTCTTTGGCCGTATTTCTAGGCCTCCTAGATGGGGTCCGACTAGATAGGGTCGGAGGATCGCGCCGAATTGTCGATGCATCGCCGATGCGGCTCGATGTGGAGCCCGATTTGCTTCACGTCGACGTCGCCGATGCATCGCCGACGTCGACGATGCATCGAGGGTGCATCCCCGATGCATCGCCGACGCATCGCCGCTGCATGGGCTATGCGGCGCGATCCTCCGACCAAATCTACTCCGACCCCATCCAGGAGGCCTCGAGTATTGGGGCTTTCTTGGAGGCGCCCTGGACCATCTTGAAGCGACTCGGGAGACCCCTCTGCCCGTTTCGGACGGCGGTCGGGAGGCCGAAAAGGCGAGCGCGCCAAAAAAGTGCAGAAATCCCGAATCACGCGACTTTGCCTCCGGGGGGCCTTCTTGGGAACGCGTTCGGGGCCCTCCTGGGACGTCTGGGGGGCCGTCGGGGTTGTCTTGGGGTCGTTTTCGGCTTGTTTGAGGCCGACGTGGAGGCATCTTCGGCCCCAAACGGCCCCTCCCAAGACAGCCCAAGCGGGGCCCGAGATGGGCCCAGAGGCCCCCAAGACGCCCCAAGAGGGCTCCGAGAGGATTCACAAAAAGGGCCCCAGCAGGCAAAACTTACTAATATTTGTTTGGTTGTTCCATGCTTGTTCAGTTCTCTCATGTTCGGCCTTTTGCCCGCCCGAGCCCGCCCGGAGGACTTCCAAGTCGCCCTAAGATTGCCCAAGAAGCTCCCAAGAGGGCCCCAGGACGGCCCAAGAGCGCCCGAAGACGGCCCTTGAGGGGCACGACGACCAGGCAAAGAGAGTCTAAGAGAGCGTCCAAGGACGGCCTCGGAGTCCCCCAGGATGGCTCAAGGAGGCCCCGAGCTGGCCAAGACGACGGTAGAGACCCATGGGGCACCCCGAGCAGGCCCAGCGAGGATTCCCGACAGGGCTGCCCGGCTGCTGATGTGAGGCCACCCCGTGCCGAAGGGAGAAGCACTCCAGAAGCCTCTCCAAGCCCCCCCCCAAAAAAGAAGCCTCCTCCGAGGCCCGGGACGTGACCTCGACGCCGATGGTGTTAAGTCGGGCCTGTCCCCCTACAGGGGGATTTTCAACGAAAAATAGAAAATACCCCAAGAATAGTCAGAAAATAATCCCAAGATAGTCTGGAGGACTATTTTGGTGCATTTTGTTGACCTGTTTGGGGGTATGCTTCATGTTTCGTCGAAAATCCCCCTGCAGGGGGGCACGCCCGACACAACGATGGTGGCATGTCTGACGAGGAGTCGCGAGGGCGTGGCGGCTGGGCGGGGCGGTGCGCGGGCCTGGCTCGGCTCGGTGCAGCTCTCGCCGCGGGCCGCGGGAGGAGGCTCGGAGAGCCCGGGCCCCACGTCCTGGACTGCGGCGATCGATCGGTGCGCACGCGTGCTTCTGAAGTCGGCATTCGGGGAACAGAAAGTGACATGAACATAGAAACTCGGAGGTCCGCGCGGATTTCTCGGATCCGCGCTGGGACTCCCCTCCCTGGCGCGCGGAGCGCGCCAGGGGCGGCGCCGGAGGCGCCGCCAGGGGGGTCGCATGTCCCGCCACCGTTAGGGGAACAGAAAGTGACATAAACATAAAAACTCGGAGGTCCGCGCGGATTTCTCGGATCGGCGCTGGGGCCCCCCGGCGGCGCCTCCGGCGCCGCTCCTGGCGTGCTGCGCGCACCAGGGAGGGGGGTCCAGCGCCGATGCGAGAAATCCGCGCGGACCTCAGAGTTTTTATGTTTATGCCACTTTTTGTTCCCCTAACCGTGCTGCTGGTGGCCAGTCCCAGCTGCCTGCGGCGGGTCCCGCCAGCGCGCCAGCCCAGCATGACGGGGGGCGACGTCTCGAGGGGGCGCGGGAGGCCGTCCGTGTGACATCTGGTGTCTCCAGAATCGGGAGAGTCGCCATGATGACGAGGAGGAGGAGGAGGAGGAGGAGGAGGAGGAGCAGGAGAAAGAGGAAGGCCGTCGCATGTGACACATTTCGACTTCACTAATTGGGGAGCGTTCGTGGAACTCGTTTGGGCAGTCTTGTGGCCGTCTTGGTTTCCTATGAGCCAATATTTGGGGTCCCTAGGGACACTCTTGGGCTGTTTGGGCCCCCCTTAAGCCATCGTGGGGCTCTCTTGGGCCTTCTGGGGGCCCTCTTTCTTGGTCGTATGGTGGGTGCCTAGGGGCCGTCATGGGAGCCGTCTTGGCGCCGTGTTGGGCAGTCGAAGGGCCTTCTAAGGCCATCTTGGATCCCACGGGAGGCCTTCTTGGGCCGTCGTGAGCTTATTGGGCCCTCGTGGGGTCTTCTTGGGCCATCTTTGGACACTCGTAGTGGCCTCTTCGACCGTCTTAGGACCATCGTAGAGGCTTCTTGAGCAGTCTTGAGCTGACGGAAGCCCGAAAAGGAGATAACGCGAAAATTGCTCAAACACCAAATGAGGATCCATGGTTTTGGCTTCTGCGAGCTTCTGCAGGCTTCGTTGGAGGTCATCTTGAGCCTCTTTGGGCCCTCTTGGAAGCATCTTGGGCCATCTTGAGGCCACATTCGGCCGCCTTGGGGCCCTCTTGGCCCGTCTGAAGGGCAGCCTCTGCCATCTCGGTTGCTCTGGTTGCCTGCCTGGGCCGCCTTGGAAGCTCGCGACGGAGAGGCGTCTAGGGAGTGGCCGCGGGAGCGCGGATCCATAGTTTTAGGGAGTGGCCGCAGGAGCGCGGATCCACAGTTTTTGTTACGAGTGATCGTGGCCTCAGGAAAAGGTGGGGGGGGGGGGCATGCGCTTTGTCTGCGGGGGGAGGGAGGTGCCCCTTGTCAGAGCACAGAAGCCCTGCAGAGCAGCGCCTGGCACTCTGACACGCCCACGTCGTGCAGGCACGGTGGCAGACCATCTGCCACGAGAGGGGCGATAGGTTGCGTCGCTCCGCCTCGCGAACACGACGCCCGACCGGACCAGTGTCCGTTTGGCGGCTGCGTCTCCGTCAAGGCCCTTCCCTCTGCTCTTCTCACTCCATGGGCAGCGGCGTGTTTCGCTCCGCCTCGCGCGCGCACCCTGGGGCGAGGGAGCAGAGAAGCGTGCGCCATCTGATCCATCTCTGTCGTGCGACCTCGTCGATGTCCGGTTCTCGAGTCTCGGGTCCAAGGCTGGTGAATGGTTAACGTGTCGGCCAGTGGCTGGCCGCTCCTTCCCAAGCAAACAAAAGATAGCCCTGGACGAACAGATGCGCGCATCACGATGTTGTCAGAGAGCCGTCACAGCGGTTTCGGAGATGGGCCTGCATTGCTCCACAAGGGCCTCAGGGCTGTCTGTCGATGACGATTCCACTCGGGCCTCGGACAATCAGATGCGCGTTGCAAGGCTCCCAACATGAGGAGCCACACGCGAACAAACGATTGGGAATCGGATGATGTTCTTGGCCACTGGGATCCTTGCGGCACGGGTACGCCTTGCGTCCTGTGACTTTGTTTCTATGTTGCTTGATTGCGTATATATATGTATATATATACATATATATATATGTATCTATATATGTATCTATATACAGATATATCTATATATACAAAACACAGAAGAAAGGCGTGCGGAGCGCACGTGGCCTCAGGCCCAGAGGGGTCCCAGCCTCTTTTCTCCACGGCAGGACAGGGCCGTGGGAACGGGGTCTGGGCCTCAGGCCCCTCTCCACGGCCTCAGGACAGGACAGCCTGCGGGGGCTCTCGGAGAGCGCCAGGAGGCCCGAAGGGGGCACGAAGGCGCCACAAGAGGCCCCCGAGAGGGCCCCAGGACAGCTCGGACCCCTCCAAGATGATTCATAACGTTCCCGACGAGGACCCTTGCGAGGCCTTGATGCCTGACAACGCCGACGGACCGACGGACCGACGACGACGACAAGGACGATGGGCGACGACGCCGGACCGACGACGACCGACGACGACGGACCGACGACGACGACGACCGGCGACAGCTCTCGACGACCGACGCGCCGGTGGCCAGCGCGCCCGTGCCCCGCGAGGCGCAGGAGCTGTCGCAGCTGCGCGGGGCGCTGAAGGACGTCGTCCAACAGCGCCGTCGGTCCGGCATCTCTGGTCAGGCGTCGTCGTCGTTCGTCGTCGGCGCCTGCGTCGTCGGATTCCGTCGTCGTCGACGACGACCGGTCGACTTCGTCGTCGGTTCGCAGCCATCGAGGTTCGAGCATCGGGTTATTTAGGGCGTGGGTTTGGCGCGCTTTGCTTGTTGGGAAGCCTCTGGGGGCCTCCCGGGAATCTCTGGGGGGCGTCCAGAGATCTCTGGAGACTTCTGAAGACTTCCGCTGGATGTCGGTCGCATGCGGTCGTCGTCGGCCGTCGTCGTCGCCGTCGTCGTAGTGCGTCGTCGTCGTCGTATCCCGACGTCGCAGACCCTAGTAAATTACAGTGCAGGCGCGCCCCCGAAGCCACCATCTCTTATCAGTTGCTACAGATGCGCACAACCCGGCACGCAGCAACCAGGCAAAAGCGCTTGCCGTCTTGTTCATAGTTCTGACAAAAAGCCAACCAGACGAGTTGCCAGCCAGCCAGGCGACAAGCCAACAGATTACTTAGCTGAATAGGCTCAGCCATGAAAGCAATCAGATGGGGGCTGGTGGCATTGGGCGAAGCCCTTCATATAAATGAAAGTCAGCCTCGCTTTTTTGGAAGCAGGTGCGGCACGTCTGGCTGTTTCCTCAGCGTTATTGCTATTGCCTTACGGCCGGTGCCGCCGACCCTGAAGACGGCGACGACGAATACGAGGAGGAAGGAGGAGGAGGAGGAGGAGGGGGATTAAGGTGGAAGGGAGCAGAAGAAGGCGAAGGAGATGTTCCCCATGTGGGTCGAGTGAAAGTCAGCCTCGCTTTATTGGAAGCAGGTGCGGCATGTCTGGCTGTTTCCTCAGCGTTATTTGTGGCGGTCGAGGCTCGAGAGTCGTCGGCCCAGGATCGAGCCCCGCTGCAGGTGCAGACACGTAAGCGTCAGGACGAGTGTGTCGAAGAATGCCCCTCCGCGGCATGTGGGAGGGAGCCCAAGCACAAGTTGGGCTCCTCAAGAGCCCCGCCCAAAGAAGCGTGGCTTTGCCCGGGCCCACGTGCTGACGCTAACATGCGAAATGTCACACCGCCTGTGGAAAAAAACGCGTGCGCCCACACCGTCAGGAAAGGCCTCGCCGCTCTGGGGCCGAGTGCGTTCCCCTATCACTGGGCCTCCGGAGGCCCTCCCCGGGACTTCCCGGCGCGCCCCCGAAGCTCCTGAGATTTGCGGGGTCCTCCACCCAGACATGACCGCGTCGTGAAAAAACAAATCCAGACGGAAGGTGTTGGGCTAATTTCGGCCTCGGGGGGCCCTCGCCGGGCCTCGGGACCGTCAAAAAAACGACTCGGGATGAAAAACCGATCCCGGGGAAAGGGTCGGCACTTCCAGGGACCCCGCATTGAAAGAATCAGGACGTCGTATGTCTGGGAGGACGTCTGGCGTCGCCGTCCGGACAGCGGAGACCCATGCCAACAGGCATCTTGCTTGCCGCCAGGGTGCCCTGGATGCCCTGGGTTCTGGCGGGAAAGCGTGACGTCCCCACACCAAAAGTCCATGAACGTCCTGGGGTCTCAGGGCTGGGTTTCTCGTGGAAGGTTTCTTGTGGTCGAGCTCCTACTGCAGGGTCGGGACTCGAGCGTGTGCGGGCACCTGCCTGTGGGCCCACGAATGCCCCTCCGGGGTTCTGGGTCGGGGGCCGCTGGAGGTGCCCACGGTCCAAGGTGCCCCCAGCTTTCCGCTCCACGCTGAAGCCCCTGGGGCCCTCTGGACCTCGTGAGGGGTGCCCCCCTGAGATCCTACGTCTGGAAAAAGTTGGAGCACCTTGAACAGTCACGACCAGATTCCTGGACCCTGGCTTCTTGCGTCATGGCTCGAGCCGGATCGATCTGTGAGGGTCCCGGGGCCCGAAATGGGGCAAAACGCCCGGCGTGAAGCATTGCAACGCCAGGGTCTCAGGGTCTGGAGGTCGCCTGGACCACCCCAGGAATCATGGGCGCACCTTGGCCCAGAGGCACTTCTAGCAACACCCGACGTGGGCCCACGAAGCCCGAATGGGGAGGAGGAGGAGGAGGAGGAGGAGGAGGAGGAGGAGGAGGAGGAGCTCTGGAGCTCTGGGGCTCTGGCTCGCCGCGGGTTCGGGAGCGCCCGCGGCGGCGGGAGCGGCCGCGCAAGGGAGCGCAGGCCGCGCGGCAGGAGGCGCCGACGACGAGGGAGTCAAGGTCGAGGGCCCGACCCGTGACGTCGAGGACCAAAGCCAGTCAAGTCCAGGAGAAGGGAGGCCCTGCACGCGGAGAGGCCGTAGGCGCACTCCACCTTCCGCTGGGGACGCAGGCCGCGTGCCCCTGTGGGACCCGGGTGACCAGCACCCTGTGGGCCAGCACTGAAAGTTTGGGTGCCAGCCTACAGGATGCCAGTCACCGGGGGCGTCGGCCGCCCCATGTCCTGGTTGTCCCTGCAGTCCGCCTCGCTGGCGGGGAGGAAGTCCGAGGCGCACTCGCTCGATGGTTGATCGCTGATTGGTCCGAGTGTGACGGCTGTCGGAAAAGCCGTCGCATAAGCTCCGCAGCTCTCTGGCAGTAGAAGGCGAGAGCGTAGCACATCCCCGCACGCCGCTGACAACAACATGCCCCAGCGTGAAGGAAAACGTCGTGTCCAAGTGCAGCGAAGGCCTGCACCAGCGGATCAGCATCAGGAGGTCGACGACGTACTTCCTCCATAGACGGCGAATGGTCCCGCTGGGGTGCTGGGTCCGCATGCGGCGCCTCTTCGTGAGCAGGACGGTCAGGTGGAGGTGCAGGGAGCGACTCCAGGAGCGCCGCTATCCTCTCATCACTTGCTGTTCTCCATGCGCGGCGCGTCTGATTGAAGAACGCGTCTGCCATCGCGCGCACCACCCTGGTTGGGCAGCACCGTCGCAATGAGCCTGATCGGAGTGTGGCCAGCGACCTCCTGGTGTTGGCCGTCGCGCTGCACCGTCGGCAGCGGCACTGGCGAGTCTCAGTGCAAACCCAGAGATCATGATCATCTGGTCGTCCAGGGAGTACTGGGGCGGCATGCTGGTGGAGAGGCCGCTGAGGCACATGAGCCATCCCATAGCGCTTAAAGTGCACGACGCGCAAACACGCGCATGAGATATACTGTAGCACTTGGTGGTGCTGTTTCATGGCCGCCGTAATTGACTCCGCGCGGACGTGCGCCACAGTATGCTGCGCCGCCCCTAATGTTGCAAAGTAGTCTGCCCATGAGTTACCGATCCAGTCTTGAATATTCTGGGCTTCCGCCTCCAGCAGCGCGCTGGCGTCGCGATGCGCTGGAGTCCAGCGAAACTGAGGGCGCTCGAGATGGACCGACCCCTCTTAGCCCCGAAAAAGTCCTGCCATACTCGCGCATGTTTGGCTCGCCCCTGTGCAAGCACAGGGCTCCAAGACGTGCCCTCAGTGACCAGAGATTCGAGGTCCGCGACGAACTCCAAGTTGCCGGGGTGAGCATCAAGTCCCCGCTTGATCGCGCATCGTTCAGCACGCCCCACGGTCTGGATGACGTAAGGCAAAGGCCCATAGAAGGCGCGCATGGGCAGCCGCGTGAACGGGTCCAGCTGCACCACCGCCTGTCCACACCGCCTGACCTCAGGTAGACTAGACGCAAAGCCAGATCCGTCCGTATATGAAGTCGCGCCCCACTGCCCATCACAGCTGCCCCAGTAATGGATACTGTGTCCAATGGTGCCGTGGTGCGGGATCCCAGCTGGTGGCTCAGGCGCCCCAGAGACCAGGTAGGTCTGGTTGAAGCTCGGACTACCATTCGCAAGCCCGGGACGGCGTAGATGCCCACGCGCCCCACGGAGGTGATCAGGAACACGGTAATAAGCACCACGCTTGGGAGGGGCATCATCGGCGCAAGCAGGCTGGATGCTTGTCGCCTGGGCGTCGGTCTGACCATGAGTTGCCCCGGCGCTGCGCCCCTCTGTTGCATGCGCGCCCCCCCGTGCACAAGCGTGCCATCTTGACGGGGCAGCGGAGTAGCTGCGTCAGGCGGAAAGAGGAAGTGGGGCAGGTCGCCACCGTCACCAGGACCCTCCTATAGCAGGGAAGAAATCATCACCGCCAGCTGACTGGGCTCGCTGGCCAGAGATCGGGGCGATAGGTTTCGCGGCAGCCGACATCCTTGTCGACAGCGTCGGCCCATTGAGGGGCGATCACCGCTGCTGCGGCAAAATCTGCATCCGCGCGGTTACCTCTGGCGGGTGGGATTTCCCCACAATAGGTTTCACGGCAACTGGCGTCAGTCTTTCAAGACCCTCGGCCTTGCTCAGGCTCAGTGCCAGTAGTGCCAGCATCCTCGAGCAGCCCAGGGCAGTCGAGGAAGACGCGCCCCCAGCAGGTGCGTGGGCCCAGCTGTAGTCCGCAGGCCTGGAAAGGCCGCATGGGCTGGTTCAGCTCCACGTCGCGCCTGATGGGAATGGGGGCGTCGCCCGCCCAGAGCGCATGGAGGGCACCTAGGCGGCGAGGGCCTCGAACTCCCACGATTGCGCATCGAAGCCCTCGATGCCAAACGGGAGCGCCCACGTCGGCGCGCCAATGCCGCTGTAGTCGCGCACGTTGCCCCCCCCACACCACCACCACCACCACCACCACCACCACCACCACCACCACCACCCACACGCCCTGCATGAGAAACGGGCGCAGGTCCGCTGGGCAGACGCGATGAAGATCGAACGCGTCACCCACGTCGCCCTCGAGAATGCGCGGCGAGATCATGTCCCAGCCAATGCGCCGCAGTGCAAGTAGAGTGGCGCAGAGCGGTCCCCGAGACTGGCTCCAGGTGACGCTCGCGACTGGTTTTGCCCTCAGGACTTCCCAGGCTCGCCGAAGCCGACCAGGGCTCGCACGGCCATCCCATATCCAGCTAGCACAGCGCAGGACGCGGCCCAGGGTAGCCCCAAACATGGGATCATACAGCCCAGACCTATGAGTAATGAGATAGCTCGTAACACCGACGTGCGAGGTGCCAGGGGCACCATT